TCTCAACCTCTCTTGGTAGGTTGGGCATCGAAGCTTCGAGCCCCACGAGTCGCAGCTGTTCGGTCGAGCACCACGACCCAGACCATGGCACCAAGAGACCGAGGGCGGCGCCGCGCGTCGGGCCCCGCGCGGTCGCGGTGGACCACTGAAAAGCACGGGGGTGTTGATGCATTGGATGGGGTGGTAGAAGCTAAGACCTTCCCAAAACTCAAGAGGCTCAAGTTAGCTCAAGGGGCCAACATTGAAGCTCCCCCCATGATTTTTCAACATGCAATTTCCTCCGTCAATGATGGTCAAGGGAGGGCCCAAAACTTGGAGGACCCCGTGAACAAGAGTTCAAAGGGGCCGTTATGTTGAGACAACATCTCAAGAATCCCTCCTGATCCTCTAACTTCTTCTGAAAGTGGTTCAGGAGATGATCCGCTGGGTATGAAACCACTACGATACCAAACGTTGTAGGAGGTGTGGTCATTCATCAAAGGAATGGGTCCGGACCATATCTTAAAGCCGGACCCTTTCCAACCGAGATCGGTCGCTTGCTCCGATGCCCGGTTAGATATGCAAGATCTTGCACCAAAACATGTTCATATATACATAATTTCAAATATTCCATGTATGGAATTGACATTAACCCCGAGTCAATCAACCACTCCTGGCAGGCCTGTGAGGTTGAAGCAACACATGAATGGGACCTGGAGGAGACAACTAACCAACCAGTCCCATGGGAAAATCCACACAAACGGAACTCCAAACAACCAAGAAATGAATGGAACTCCCCATAGTGGAACCATCCGAATTGTTTCTGGGACTGCATGTGGCATGTGAGGCATGTTCTGTTTTTCCTGACCCATCCATCTAACTCTTCTATTCCATGCTTTGGAGATAGTCAAATAGACCAAATCTCTGAATGAGTGAAAACTGCCTCTTCCAAAGACCCAGCAACTTCACACTTCAGAACAAACATTCATGAGTGGGCGCCCCCACTGACTTCTTACAAATTCACCTCGTCACCGCGAAACTGGTGTTCATGTTTCTTGGGATCGAACGATGGATCTTTGTTGCTTCAATTTATCAAAAAAGAAAAGCCTCCTCCCTGATCTCTCCTGCCTTCCTCTCTTTTTGGACCTCTGCTTCCGTCACTGTGACACACACACACACACTCGTCGCGCTCTCGTCGCGGACTCCTTCGCTGGTCATCGGTGCGGAACTTGGATTTGCTTCTTAAGGAACCAAACAAATAGAACATATTCCGCAGAAGTAGGGTGGAGCCACTGAAGTCCCCGATAGGGCACCCAGTTCGGGAAGATATACAATTGTCAGCAAACATCACCATGAATCATGATCCGAAAAAAAAAATGACCATGGTCCAAGTGGTTGGACAGGTCAAACGCCAGGTCGGAACGGAAGAATTTCGGTCGGAAGGAGTCGGAACTGGACACAGTAGCGGGAAAGCGAAGGTACCATCGAAATCGACCGGACTTGAGTATTTCTTTTTGGAGAATAGCTTGGTTCTAATACCCCGGTTTTGTGTAGGACTAGAATACTTGGTTCTACAAAACCTCGGGACGTTGTCCTTTTTTGTCGTGAAAAAGTCTGGCCGCCATGCAGTCAAACACCGTCAATGACATAAGTATAGTCTGGGACTGGCCTGACTTCCGAGAAGTTCCGGCCCAGGGGTGGTGAAGTTGAAAAGGGGCCAATGTACATATAGGTGTATATATATATATATATCGTCCAATTCCATGGAGTGGCCATGGGTACTGAAAGCACAAATAAATACCATGTCATCCATGTCCAATTGCCTGCAATTGTATAAGTACCATGTGTCATGTGTTTTCGATGAGAATTCACATTGAATTCTGATGGCCCAAGGTCACTCTCAAGTGGGTAGATGACGCATTGCTCAAACATAAGGGTCCCCGACGGTTGAGGATAAGGAAATCCTAAGATGAAGAACTGAACATGTGACTATTTCACAAACTCATGGCAAGTCGGCGACCGCCCGCCCGTTTACATTCCAAGGTTGATCAAGGAGAGGAGTGTGGCCGGTCACATCTTCGCTGTGAGGGTGGACCGGAACCATGAACAGGCAGCTGGTTGAGGATCGGTGACCAAGGAACATGATTCGTATGGACAGTGACGGCAAGGAGGAGCCAGTGGGCCGTAGGAACCGTCCCCAGGTTCCACCAAGCAACAAAACCAAAACAAAGCTACCCTAAGAATCATTGGACCCGACCACTTCTGGAGGGTCTTGATCCGTAAAGAACGCAGGGGGTTGGACCCGAACCCGAACCAAACCTTCACCGAACTGAGGGTCCTTGAATATTAGTATTAGCTGTATATATGTTGCTGAAAAAAAGACAAGTGCATGCTGATCGGTAAAGGCCTGATGTGTCTCAATAGGTCAGTGTCTTTGTGCTTGGACCGCAACAAGACGACCCCAGACCTGCCAGAGTGGAGGTCTCAGGCAAATAAATGAGTCTTGGCAAACATGTAGTAATTACTTGTGTTGCTTGGTGTGCTCACATGTGCAAAGCCATCCGAGCTCTGTTCATCGCCTCATGCGTTGCGATCGCCTCGAGGAGTCCGGCGGAAAAAGGTGCCACGTCGCCCACGTCGCAGGTATATATAGTATGTAAATATGTATATATACACCTAGAACCCATGTAGACCTCTGTTTTGGTTGGAAAAGACCATAGTTTCTCAGGCCCCCCTTTTCAACAATCCCTGGCCTGATCGCCCAAAATCCTGAGTCCTACAAGAGTTCTATAGCAATAGGATCATACCCAGGTGCTTGCAAGCTCAGTATCCACCTCCCGGGAACAGCTTTCCAACACCCTCCACATTCTAACTTTACACAAAGAAGAACCTGTGACATGAATGGCTGCAGACAGGTGAAATGAGTTGCACCACCGGGATCGTCAAGAGTGCTGAGAGGTGAGGAAACATGGGGAAAATGGCAACAGCCAGGGACATCTTGCAGTTCGTTTCTTTGTGGTCCCTCCCAATGCAGGCCCATCACAAGTGCAGCGTCACTTTAAAAGTCAAATGCTGGCCAACAACACTTTGCCAACTTGTGCTTACCCATGACTCATGAACGTTGCGAAACAAGCTTCTTCACTGGGTATGCCAAGAAATTCTGAGTTGACCCTGGCACCCGCTCCCTTCTTCCTGTGCAGCAGTTGCGAGTTGTGCGACGTGGTGCCACATGCGCGAAGCCATCACCAAAACACTCGTGCAGAAGATATGGTCGCTGCCGAAGATCGCACATCGTCGATCCGGCACTAAATGAAGGCGCGATCGGTGCGGGGTCAGGGGCCGGTGGTCCAAATGAAGGGTCAGGGGCGGCGCTGGCTGGTCCAAACGCCCCAGCACATCAATGACTCTCTGACTGAAGAATCACCGGAAATGCTGAAGTAATGAAAAAAGCATGCAGAAGGTATGAATATGTCCAATCTACTGTAGGATTGATTTACTGTAAATGCTGGCTAGCGTTCGAGCTCCAAACACTTGTACCAATGGATAAGAGCTATGAAATGTTCAGTCGTGCTACTTCTGAATTGGTTATGGATTAGAACCCAGTAGCCGCAGTAGCCCCAAGAAAAACACCTGAAACGAGGAACATCACTAGGGTTTGAAGGACCTAGGCCGGGCCGGTGTCTATCCCTCCTGGAAAGCATCCATAGACACGCAGCACAAAAGGACGCGACACGTATATATACATATCATTTTGGGCATCGCGACTCGAACGGAGCCAGAAAGGACGCTACGAACGCTCCTGGCCTTGCTACTAGTAACATACTATAGTGGCAACGGGACTAATTACGTTCCACTTCATTCAGCTTTTGGACCACTTGGTCCTTCACCCGGGGACCCACTGCACGAAAGAAGCGAGCGGACCCGCAGCGGCTCGCGGCCGCGAGCCGCGTTGCTGCGAAGCCGAAATGGTTTGTTCTCTCTAAGGTATGGTGTGAGGCAGCGAAGCGCAGCGAAGCTGTTAGATGACCCCGAAGATCAACTAGCTCTCCCTGGAACCAATAGGGAAATGGAGTGAGTGAGTGAGTGAAAGGCCCCCCCCTGTTTGAGGCGGCCGGAGACGAACGGAGCATCGTTCCTTTCGGGGCGAACTAGTCGCGTCGTCCGTTCCGTTGTCGTGGGGTCCGACCCCCGGAAAACGTCGTGGAGTGATGATTCTCTTGGTGAGTAGCATCTGGGTGGAATCATCTCAGTGGAGAACCAACCATTTGGGTGATTCCATCCTTGGCATTGGAAGCATCTGGGAATCTGGGTGCTACTCTCGACGTGGTATTCCGATCCGATCTGGGGGCAGTCATCGTCGGATCCGATGCCCAACTCTGATGGTCTGATGGTCTGAGCGCTGGTCGCTGGGAGAAGGAGAACACCAAGGAAAACATCCATGAAACAAAGACCTGTCGAGCGCCTGTCGAAGTTCCAACTCCTGCTTCTGTGGTCGACCGGGTCTGCAAAATGATGACCACCTGATCTTCTGAGATCCAAACAAATCGTCATGGTCGAAAACCCAGAATTCATGGTATTGATCGAGTACTCCAGAAACCTTAAAAACTGTTCACTGCGGCGTGTTGCTGGAATCCAGGATCATCTCTTAAGCCTACCCACCATAGGAGGGTCAGATTGCCACAACTAATCCAACCCTCAATTCATGAGCGTCCCAAGCACCTTCCAAACACACACCGCTACGACTGGGCCTTCTTCGAACCCTACGGATGGTGCCATTTGTTTAGATCTGATTCGAGCCATTTGAGCCAGCAAACAAACACCTCAAGTTGGAGGGCTTCCGAATGGATGACAAACACCGACAAAAACATCAGGCACTCTGGGAGGAGCCGAGACCAGGAAACAACTGGAAGAGTTGCATTGAGCCCATTTATGACGCTATATAATGGATGGTCTGGGATAGAACAATCCAAACTAGCTACATGTGATGGGCTTTGGATGAGAAGCCCTGTAACTCTTCATTCGTCCCATTCATCTGCTCTGCCGGACCTCGTGGCTCGTGTCTGGGGGGGTGCTTTGAACCTCACGACTCAATGAGCCACACTCAGCCGCGAGTGACCGGGCGCGAGTAGTTCCTTGGAGAATACCTCAGGAGATCGCTTTTGGAGGATGTCCATGGGATGGGTCCAGTTCTCCATGAGATGTCCTCACCTGGAGTTTCCAGGGCTACATTCCCGAGTCAACTCACATAGACCCTGACGTCCTCCCATCGAAGACGATTTTCCTCTACCAACCAGAGGTTTTCAGGTTCCATGGGATCGTAGTTGGGGTGGTTTTGGGGGTCTTTCTGGGGCGGCAGTCCTATGGCAGTCCCATTGGTTGTGTTTGGGTATAGTTGCATACGTTTACCGAACATGACCCATCCAGCCATAGGGCCCACACCCGACGTATATGGTGGTTTTTCGCGTCATCCCGTTCGTGACGGGTCGGATCGGTCCTGATCCGAAATCCACTCAAGGGGGATGTCCTGGGGTGTTCCTCGGAATACTCCAGGATACTCCCTGCGCGATTTGTGAACACCGCAGTCGACTGAGGTGTTTGGGTCTTCTCTTCGCCCCAGATCGACTTCATGGGACTGGCATCGTTTTGCCTTACATACAACCACCCCAATGACCCCAATGAGCCCAATGTATGTATGTAAATATATTCCAGTAGTCCCACTTCCAGTTCCATGGAGTGTCTGAGAACAAAAATTGGGAGAAGCCGGACCGGGTCCGGAGTTTTCCTGAGTGACGGCCCAGGCCGGCCGTCGCCGGTTTCGTTGGACCCTCACGTCGACCTCGCCTTTTCCTGTGAATATGCAGAATCTGTTTTTGTCATGTTGGTTCTTCACTTCGGAGATTCACTTCAAGGAATTGTCGTCTCTGTCCTGTCCTCTTGCTTTTCAATTGAACTCCACAATTAATGGATAGTAGACTCTGAACAAAAGTCTCTCAAGCACTGGTAGATATAGCCCATGTGTCCACACAAGTCTTTGGCCTTTGGGAGGTCCAGTCTATCAACCCAATGATATCTGGGAAGACAATTGAGACAGTTCTATCTAGCACTTCCAATGAATGGAGACCTATCAGTAGTGTAGGGTTGTCCAGCCAGGTGCCCCGTTTTCCAGCAGCTGGTTCCACTAACTGACCTTCTTGCAGCTGTGCACTTTCCATACCCGAAAACGGATTCCAACCACCATTCCAGAGGTTGAAGAACCCTATATAGGCTTTCCCATAGGTACCCCAGGTGAGGGGTCCTAGTTACGGTCACTTAACCTACCTCTGGTGGTTCATTTCACAGAAGGCACCACGTCTCGATTGGAAGCCCAGGGGCATGCGGGCCATGAGCTCACTGCTGGGGCTCAAGACTCCTGACCGTGGGATGCTGAGGTGCGACGACGAGAGCACCAGAGTGGTGAGACCCAAAATAAGACACTATCCGGTTGCCTGGTTTCTGAAGCAAAGCCCGGCTAACACACTCCATGTATTTTGGCATATACACATGCATACAGAATTATACACCAGCTGCTTCCAAGGGGTTACCAATGGACAACCCTACACTGCTTATAGGTTACCATTGGACACCCATGGGAAGCGCTAGGCAGATATAGATAAAATATATGCCTACATGGACCCCTGGAACCTGATTGGCAGTCCGATGCCAGTCCGGTCATGTAGACAGGTCGTTGGAAAGATGCAACTCATTGGCGAACTTCCTCATGCCCAAACGCGACCCTGGGCCAAACATACCCAAAACATCCCAAAACACTCCATGGGACTGCCAGGACCGCCCCATTGACTCCCCAAAACCAAGCGGTGGGACCCGAATCCTCTGGAGGCTAGGCTTTGACGGACCGCTCGGGCGTCGAGCGGCGAACAAACGCGTCGTGAACCAACGCAACGCTTCTCTCGAACACCTCGATGCACCCCTTTGTGACTGCTGGTATATAGTATATAGCTGATTTGGGGAGGCTTTCAACAATACATTCTGGCAAGACCGAGACTTGGGTCAATACGGTCAATAGCTATGCCAAACCTACCGCCTATCAGAGCACTTCCTCACCGCTCCATGGCCCTATTCTGTACTTGTCCCCGCAACCCATCAGCAACCCAATTCTCTAAGTCGTCGGATGGTGTGATACCCCCATTGCTTGGATTTCCTTGAACGAACAAGGACAATGAATACAGATCTTCCCCACCACGGGATGAACGAATCCTGACAGGAATACAGATCTTCCCCAAACAAATCCTCTTAAGCACACACCCAGCGAGTTCGGTGATGTGACCAAAAATCATCCATGGGACTACAAGAGTCCTACAGTGCATTCGCGGGGTCATGGTTTTTAATCCATGAAATCCGCCTTCCCACTTCCCATGGCTGGTCTCCAAGGGACACACCGAGACTCCCACCGGTGACGCCTTCTCCACCGGTGGCGCCGTTCCGCGCCACGCCCCGCCTGCCAAGTTCTGAGTGCTTCCCGCCTGGCGCGGTTCGGCCCGGCCATGGTGCGGTGGATCACGTGGGAGAGCTCTCTCACCCACCAAGTTGGGGTTTTCTATGGGGGTACGTGGGAGATCACCCGGGTGAAGTGCGGATGTTGAGTTCGGTTGGAACCTTACATGAAGATCCAACAAAAATGGCACTCTTCAGAGCTGTGTCATGCGAACCATCAAATCGCCACCAACCTTTTCAGCAAAGAACACCATGATTGACATCAAAAAAGTCAGGGCAGCCAGGACCCCAGGCTTTATCGGATCTTGCTTTTCATTGGATGCCTTTCAGGGCGCCCATTCCTCCGCAATTTCTGGGGTTCTTGAACATCTTCACGACGGAACCACATATTAGATGTGGAGTTCACCCCCCCCTCGTTGTTGAAAAAGAGTCTTCCCGAATGTCCATGGTCTAATGAGTCGACTCTTGTAGACTCTTGATTCATAAAACCCACACTCAATTGGATTGAAAACCATGAAAACAACGATGAAAAACCTCTTACTAGTTATGCATCCTCAAGAGTCTAATATATGACTTCACTTCCCTCTTCTCCTTTTTGGATGTCTCTCCCCGTCTCCTCCAGACACCCGAGCACCCCGTCTCCGCGCGAGTACCCTCAACGGCGCCGGCACCACGGGCGCCGGCTCCCGGCTGTTCCGTTCGGCACGGAGGTAGCTAGGACCGCCAATCTCCTGGGCGGCGGCGGCAGTTTCGGAGAAGCCGCAATGGCGGTCGGTCTGTCTGTTGTGGGAGCAGAAGATAGGATCCCAAACACTTCATCTGTATGGTACTGTAGATGACCTGTGACCTGTGGGGATGGTTGGATTTAAGGGGTTTTCTCATGGGGGCGGAAAAAGATGACAGGCATGGTGTCGGATGGCTGGACCGGAATAGATCCGGGACTGGACTCTTGACCCCACATGAAGCCGGATCAAACGACCCCTGGCCTGCTCGGCGAATATATATATATATATATCATACATGGATGGTCTGGAAATGTCTGGAATAGGTTGTAGGTCCAAATTGGGGAACCTTAATTCATTGATCACGGAAAATGGACAAACTAGGCTACTCGGGAGGTCAACCTACCAGGGGAAACGCGCCCCAGAAAAACATGTGAGAGACATATGACATGAATATATATCTGGTGCACGGCGAATTGCAGGTGCTGCCAAGGTCGGCAGTAGAACCACCAAGAACACCAGAAAGTACAGGCAACTGACCAAGTCCTACCCCAAACCACATGAAATCCTTAGAAACATGATGGGGGACGAGCAGGCATGACATGGTCGTTTCCCTGTACAAGGTCACCCTTGCCTTCTGGACTTGCTGGACAGGTCTGGACTGATCGCCTCCCAGGCCCCGAAATCCGGGGTCAAACAAAAGGAGTGTCAACCGAACCCATGGTTTGGCGATGCAGGTGCCAAGACTCACGGCCAGCAACGGGGCTACGGCTTGGACGCAAGCGTTGCCGTGCCCCGGCAACGGCCAGCTGATGCTTGCCAACGACTAGGCAGAAGAATGCGGACAGAACCTACAACGTGCAACACGTGGCCAAAACCCTTTAATACCGAGAGAAGATGCCCAGTCTGTCCTGGCGTGTGTTACAAGGCTCAGCTGGTGCGCAAGTTCTTTGGCCAAGAGCAGGTCATCACAGGCACAGCAGGCAAGTGTGACACAACGCAGAACACAAGTGTCAACACTAACGACATGTCCAGGGATGGAGCCAACAAGTTTGGCGCACGCCAAAACACTTCATGTTCAACATGCTCGTGGACCTAATACAAGGACATCTTCCGGCAAGGGTTCTCAACCCACAACCAAATTTGACATGTCAGGCAAGCAAAGTCTTGCCCATGCAGTCCTAAGCCGATGCTGCCGCAAATCCTCAGTTTCATGAGGGTCAGGCTTTCTCATCCTACTGCAACAAGCTGCAACAATTTATTTTACGCGCGGTTTGAATGAACATTCAGAACCTGAGAAGCTGCAAAACGAAAGCCAGCGCTTCCCTTTCTCGACAACTGCGCGTCGAAGCAAGCAAATGAGCTCGCGCAGCTGCTTGCGGCCGCGTGTCAAATCTGCTTCATGTCTTGTTCTGCCCACACAGAGGTAACCATGTCAAAACAAAAACCTGCGCTTCCTGGCAATTGAGGGGTTCGGTGTCATTTTGCCCGGATTTTTCCTCTGCACAGGGGGGGGTTTGGATGGAATCCGATGTTTTAGGCCGTAGCCAAATCTATCCACATTGACATCATTTGGTGTCTACCAGGACCTTCAAAGTGACCGTCCGAGATCCCAGAATGAGGTCACTTAGTCACTTAGTCCCGAATGAGGTCACTTGGAGACTCCAAAGAGGTCATTCTGAAGGTCCTGGTGTTTCATTCCACTTCCAGTAAGACTAAGATCCTTTGTTTCTGGTGGCTATGCGCAAGCGACTCATGCTCTTCAAGGAGTGCTGTAAGTGAAGTATCGGAGTGCTCTTCTGAAGCTAGCCTGGGTCCGTATAAATACTATGTTGCTATACCTCTTACACACCTACACAAGTTCAAAGCACGAATGAGACTTCAAAGCTGTGGATTGCTGTGCGTGTGTAGAGGCTATCGAGCGGTTGACGGAAAGGGAACTTGAAGTACTATACCTGGTAGCTGCACTATAACTATAGCTACCCTGGGTCTCTATACCTAGCAAGGCCTTTATTTTCAAGATGGCCTGAACAGAGTGTTTTAGGGCAGCAAACCGTGGTCTCAGGCCACCTTGAATTTAGCTTGAA